TCTATGACGCACACTGCACGGTATCCAATGAGCACGCTCTATGCCGCACACTGCACGGTATCCAATGAGCACGCTCTATGCCGCACACTGCACGGTATCCAATGAGCACGCTCTATGCCGCACACGGCACGGTATCCATTGAGCACGCTCTATGCCGCACACGGCACGGTATCCAATGAGCACGCTCTATGCCGCACACGGCACGGTATCCAATGAGCACGCTCTATGCCGCACACTGCACGGTATCCAATGAGCACGCTCTATGCCGCACACTGCACGGTATCCAATGAGCACGCTCTATGCCGCACACTGCACGGTATCCAATGAGCACGCTCTATGCCGCACACTGCACGGTATCCAATGAGCACGCTCTATGCCGCACACTGCACGGTATCCAATGAGCACGCTCTATGCCGCACACGGCACGGTATCCAATGAGCACGCTCTATACCGCACACTGCACGGTATCCAATGAGCACGCTCTATGCCGCACACTGCACGGTATCCAATGAGCACGCTCTATGCCGCACACTGCACGGTATCCAATGAGCACGCTCTATGCCGCACACTGCACGGTATCCAATGAGCACGCTCTATGCCGCACACTGCACGGTATCCATTGAGCACGCTCTATGCCGCACACTGCACGGTATCCAATGAGCACGCTCTATGCCGCACACTGCACGGTATCCAATGAGCACGCTCTATGCCGCACACGGCACGGTATCCAATGAGCACGCTCTATGCCGCACACTGCACGGTATCCAATGAGCACGCTCTATGCCGCACACGGCACGGTATCCAATGAGCACGCTCTATACCGCACACTGCACGGTATCCAATGAGCACGCTCTATGCCGCACACTGCACGGTATCCAATGAGCACGCTCTATGCCGCACACTGCACGGTATCCAATGAGCACGCTCTATGCCGCACACTGCACGGTATCCAATGAGCACGCTCTATACCGCACACTGCACGGTATCCAATGAGCACGCTCTATGCCGCACACTTCACGGTATCCAATGAGCACGCTCTATGCCGCACACTGCACGGTATCCAATGAGCACGCTCTATGCCGCACACTGCACGGTATCCAATGAGCACGCTCTATGCCGCACACGGCACGGTATCCAATGAGCACGCTCTATGCCGCACACGGCACGGTATCCAATGAGCACGCTCTATGCCGCACACTGCACGGTATCCAATGAGCACGCTCTATGCCGCACACTGCACGGTATCCAATGAGCACGCTCTATGCCGCACACTGCACGGTATCCATTGAGCACGCTCTATGCCGCACACGGCACGGTATCCAATGAGCACGCTCTATGCCGCACACGGCACGGTATCCAATGAGCACGCTCTATGCCGCACACTGCACGGTATCCAATGAGCACGCTCTATGCCGCACACTGCACGGTATCCAATGAGCACGCTCTATGCCGCACACTGCACGGTATCCAATGAGCACGCTCTATGCCGCACACTGCACGGTATCCAATGAGCACGCTCTATGCCGCACACTGCACGGTATCCAATGAGCACGCTCTATGCCGCACACGGCACGGTATCCAATGAGCACGCTCTATACCGCACACTGCACGGTATCCAATGAGCACGCTCTATGCCGCACACTGCACGGTATCCAATGAGCACGCTCTATGCCGCACACTGCACGGTATCCAATGAGCACGCTCTATGCCGCACACTGCACTGCACGTGAGAGGAGGGAACGCAGGAGCTTAGAAGGCGAGCTCGTGAGGGTAATTGTAGCGAAAATATACGTGGAGCAAAAGGGGCAGGTCGGACGGGGTGGGAGCAGGAGAAGCAGATAAGGAGAGGTGAGAAGAGGAAACGAGAGGTAAGGTGAGGTGAGAGAAAGGGGAGTGGGGAGAGGAAAGGAGGAGCGAGGAGAAGGCAATGGAAGGGATAAAGGCGAGGACAAGTGGATTGCGGTATGCTGTACTTTTCATTCCGCTCCACGCACCTTATTGTTCTGCTCGATCGCTATTCTGAGGGCTTCCTCTGGCGATTCAGACCATTCCAGAATCTTCTTCGCCCAGTACATGCTGCCACAGGGGTGAGGGGGAGAGGGAGTGGGGGGTAGGGGTTGGGGGATGGAATGCGAAGATTGTTTGAGAGCTTTCAAGAGTGACTTCGATGTATGTCCAGTGGATGCTGTCACACATGAAGGGCGGGAGAAGGAGAAACGGGAAAGGAGGTGGAGGAACCGAGTGTCACCGCTTCAGCCTCTCATACTGCAAAGAGCCACATTGGAGACAGCACCGATCCTCACCGCTCCTCACCGCTCCTCACTGCAGAAACCATTCTTCTTTGCACCATGCCGCACAAACCACTGCCATGATAGCTGCTGCAGTGCAGGGTAGCACAACCCCTCACCTGCTGCATTCTTCCCCTCACTGACTGCACACCTATCAACTATCACACTGACCACTGGCTACAATGCTAAACCATGCCTCACCGCACTGAATCCGCATCTCACCGCATGAAACCGTGCATCTTGCCGTAGTGAACCAGGAAGGGGGTCAAGGGGGTCAAGGGGGTCAAGGGGGTCAAGGGGGTCAAGGGGGACAAGGGGGTCAAGGGGGACAAGGGGGACAAGGGGGACAAGGGGGACAAGGGGGACAAGGGGGACAAGGGGGACAAGGGGGACAAGGGGGACAAGGGGGACAAGGGGGACAAGGGGGTCAAGGGGACAAGGGGGACAAGGGGGACCAAGGGGGACAAGGGGGACAAGGGGGACAAGGGGGACAAGGGGGACAAGGGGGACAAGGGGGACAAGGGGGTCAAGGGGACAAGGGGGACAAGGGGACAAGGGGGACAAGGGGACAAGGGGGACAAGGGGGACAAGGGGGACAAGGGGGACAAGGGGGACAAGGGGGACAAGGGGGACAAGGGGGACAAGGGGGACAAGGGGGACAAGGGGGACAAGGGGGACAAGGGGGACAAGGGGGACAAGGGGGTCAAGGGGGACAAGGGGGACAAGGGGGACAAGGGGGACAGGGGGACAAGGGGGACAAGGGGGACAAGGGGGACAAGGGGGTCAAGGGGGACAAGGGGGACAAGGGGGTCAAGGGGGACAAGGGGGACAAGGGGGACAAGGGGGACAAGGGGGGGACAAGGGGGACAAGGGGGACAAGGGGGACAAGGGGGACAAGGGGGACAAGGGGGACAAGGGGGACAAGGGGGAACAAGGGGGATCAAGGGGGACAAGGGGGACAAGGGGGACAAGGGGGACAAGGGGGACAAGGGGGACAAGGGGGACAAGGGGACAAGGGGACAAGGGGGACAAGGGGGACAAGGGGGGACAAGGGGGACAAGGGGGACAAGGGGGACAAGGGGGGACAAGGGGGACAAGGGGGACAAGGGGACAAGGGGGACAAGGGGGACAAGGGGGACAAGGGGGACAAGACAAGGGGACAAGGGGGACAAGGGGGACAAGGGGGACAAGGGGGACAAGGGGGACAAGGGGGACAAGGGGGACAAGGGGGACAAGGGGACAAGGGGGGACAAGGGGGACAAGGGGGACAAGGGGGACAAGGGGGACAAGGGGGACAAGGGGGACAAGGGGGACAAGGGGGACAAGGGGGACAAGGGGGACAAGGGGGACAAGGGGGACAAGGGGGACAAGGGGGACAAGGGGGTCAAGGGGGTCAAGGGGGACAAGGGGGACAAGGGGGACAAGGGGGACAAGGGGGACAAGGGGGACAAGGGGGACAAGGGGGACAAGGGGGACAAGGGGGACAAGGGGGACAAGGGGGACAAGGGGGACAAGGGGGTCAAGGGGGACAAGGGGGACAAGGGGGTCAAGGGGGACAAGGGGGACAAGGGGGTCAAGGGGGTCAAGGGGGTCAAGGGGGTCAAGGGGGACAAGGGGGTCAAGGGGGTCAAGGGGGACAAGGGGGTCAAGGGGGTCAAGGGGGACAAGGGGGACAAGGGGGTCAAGGGGGTCAAGGGGGTCAAGGGGGTCAAGGGGGACAAGGGGGTCAAGGGGGTCAAGGGGGACAAGGGGGTCAAGGGGGTCAAGGGGGTCAAGGGGGTCAAGGGGGTCAAGGGGGTCAAGGGGGTCAAGGGGGTCAAGGGGGTCAAGCGTGTGTCAAAGCAAGACATGGAAAGCACAATGCCCAGGAGTACACAAGTGCTGATTTTAAGCTGACCTTCGTTCGATCTGGCTCTCTAATACGCCTTAGCACACTAGTCAACCACGCTCTTCATTCTTTCATTTCATGGAGTTTGTTTCGTCGTCCTAGAACCACTCAAGTTGATGGAAATAAGACCTCCGCAGCCTACCTGTTTGCTACTGACAACACATGGAAAGCGCAATGCCCAGGAGTTACCACTCCCAGAGGGCACACTCCCAATTGTGTTACCTGGTCGTGAGTCTTGGCTGCTTCCCACTGTGCTGCCCTGCAATTCAAACACAACAAGGCAGATGTGAAACACATGGCAAGCAAGCACTAGACACTGAAGTGCCACTGCCCGCGAACCATACCGTGGTGAATGGAAAACCAAGGAAACAAAACAATTGATGGGACGTTGCTACCACCATCAACCGTCTCCCTTTCTCCCCATTATGCCCCTCTTTATACCCCCCCCTCCCACTCACGTGTACACCAACTCCTCCTTGTCTTGTCCCCCCAGTTCTCTGCTGAGCCCACTACACTCTCACGCACCCCCCAGCGACTCGGAGTCCGGCTGGTGGAAACAGAAAGAGCGACCCTTCCGATCGCCCCACCCCCCCACCCCGCCCATCCTCTCCCCCTTGTCTTTCCTTCTCCCCTCCCCCTTCACCCACTCACGTGTACACGAGCTCTCTCTTGCCCCCCCGGTGCTCATTCAATGACCGCTGCGCCCACTCCCACGCGCCCCCCGGCGACTCGTACAGCGGCCGGTGGAAGCACACGAGAAAACATTCTGCTTCCCTTCTTTCCCCCCCTTTCCCCCTTTCCCCTTCTCGCCCCTCCCTCCCCACTCACGTGTAAACGAACTCTCTCTTGTCTCCGCGGTGTGCGTCCAGGGATTGCTGCGCCCACCCCCACGCGCCCCCCAGCGAGTCGTACAGCGGCTGCTGGAAGCAGTAGTTGTCTGCCAGCTCCCTGCGCACCACCAGCTCCTCTAGAAACGCATCAACCGCCTGGATTGAAAGGGGGAGTGGGGGGGGGGGGGGGGGAGAAGAATAGCAAGGAGCGAGGCGGGAGAGGGGGAGGGATCGGCTCTGGTGGAAGCAGTAGTTGTCTGCCAGCTCCCTGCGCACCACCAGCTCCTCCAGAAACGCATCCACTGCCTGAAAGGGAGGAGGGAGAGGTGGTGGGAAGGGATGGAGGGGGTTATGGGGGAGAGACGGACAAGGAGAGATAGGGGGGGAACAAGGGGCAAGGGAAGCAGTGGTTATCTGCTAGCTCCCTGCGCACCACCAGCTCCTCCAGAAACGCATCCACTGCCTGTGACAGAAAGAGGGGAGGGTACGTGCGGCGAGGCAAAGGGGGTTTGGGGGCAAGGTGGCTGGTGGAAGCAGTATCTATCTGCCAGTTCCCTTCTCACCACCAGCTCCTCTAGAAACGCATCAACCGCCTGAATTGAGAGGGGGTGGGGGGGAGGAATATCAAGGAGCGAGGCAGGAGGGTGAGGGATTGGTTCTGGTGGAAGCAGTAGCTATCTTCCAGCTCCCTGCGCACCACCAGCTCCTCCAGAAACGCATCCACTGCCTGCGAAGTGGGGGGTGGGGCCGGGAAGGAGGAGAGCGGGAGTGGCGGGAGCAAAAGCGAGGTGGGATTATTGTCGTATCCAAATGGGAGTAGAGTCACTGCGCTGGCCAGCATACCCCCTTACATTCCTCACTCACTACCCTCCTCACCTTGCTGTGCTGCTTCCTTGTCTTCCTTGCCTCCAGCGCACACCGCTGGGGGGCAATGTGGCCGTAGTGCAGCCAGGGGGAGAGCCCTGAGAGCGTGGTGGGGCCCTTGGAGGGGTCGTTGCGCCCACTGTCGTACCCCTTCAGCCTCTTCTCCAGAAACGTCTTCAGCCCCGCTGCAGCTGCTGCCTCCCCTGGAACTATCCAGTCCACCTCTGGTACCTCCGGACCAGCCCTGTTAGGAAGACAGATAAATAGGGGAGAGAAGAGAGATGAGTGGACCAGCCGCAGGGCCTTTTGAGGGGTCATTGCGCCCACTGTCGTATCCCCTCCTCTCAGCCTCTTGTCCAGAAACGTCTTCAGCCCCGCTGCAGCTTCTGCCTCCCCTGGAACTATCCAGTCCGTCTCTGGCACCTCGGGACCAGCCTGGCACACAGCACGCAGAGTGTAGAGGGAAGGGTATACACATCCGCAGCAGCAGCAGCAGAGCGTATTGAATTTGCACATCGATAAGCTCTGCTGCTGCTGCGGCTTCCCCTCCCCGGGACTATCCAGTCCACCTCTGGTACCTCGGGACCAGCCCAATTGGGAATATGAGAGGAAGGGAGCTGATTAGCTGCTGCAGCGAGGACTTGGGATAAGGGTTCGTAACTCTTCCTGCACTTGCTGCTGGACTTTGGCATGGGCGTGCCTGGAGGTACCAGAGGTGGACTGGATAGTCTTGGGGGAGGCCGCAGCAGCAGCAGCAGCAGCAGCAGGCAACGAATCCACTACTGTGCACCAGCGCCTTATAACGAGGCTGACCTGATCACTGCATCCATTCACTAGTCCCGGCTGACAGGCAACAGCTTCTCTACTCACCACATCACCGTGCCTTATAACGAGTCTCACTCTCACATGATCACAGCAGCTATTAACGAGTCCCAGTCCACAGGCGACGGCTTCTCCCCCGTCCACTCCACCGTGCACCCCGGCTCCAACTGGGGGTACTCCACCAAGTACTCTGGCAATTTCCGGTGTATTTTGGTGCGGATGGTGCGGGCGGCGTAACTTGTCTGATGCGGCCCAGATGGGCACCACGTTGTGAGCGTCCACCTCATGCACGCCTGTCAGCCCCACCTGCGCATCCCACAGCTCGTCTCTTCCTGCCGCCCCTTCCCTTCCTGCTGCCCCTTCCCTCCCTCCTGCAGCTTCTCCTGTATCTCCTCCTGCCGCTTCTCCTGTATCTCCTCCTGCAGCTTCTCCTGTATCTCCTCCTGCCGCTTCTCCTGTATCTCCTGCTGCTGCCCTGTCTGCTAATGTGGCCCCTTGCCTGCTGTTGCCATTGCCGCTGCTGCCGCTCCCTGATTGGCTGAGCTCCAGATCTGCCAGCCTGGCACACACGGCCTCGCGCCAGTGCCGCCCAATGCGCAGAGGGGAGAAATCGGTGACCAACAGCGACGCGCCACATCGCATGACGAAATCCGGGACTGTCTCCTCTGCCTTGCCCTGCGGTTGGGTTGCAAGTGGGATAGAATGAGGTGGAATGAGGTGTTAGAAATAGTCAGTCAACACTTTGAACTATATTCTATATCGGTTAGGTTACTTTGTAGGTTGGGTGTAGATTTGTAATCCCAACCCTATCTGGTTGGGATTCCCTCGTAATCCTGCAAATCTGCCAACTCACCAATTGGAGATTTGCTAGGATTCCCATCCCATCCTTTCCCTAGCTTTGCTCAACCCAACCCTGTTTGTACTTAAGGCCTAGTGCCTTCCTTATCAAGCAATCAGTTCAGTTCCAATTCTATCATGAGGTGCCTCAAAAACTGGACACGCAAGTCTGGAAGGACTGTCTCCTCTGCCTTGCCCTGAAGTAGAGTTAAAAGAGAGCGGATGACGTGGATTGAGAACAGAAGACGCTGGGTTAGCATAAAAGGGAGCAAGAGAAAGACAGATGACCTGTTTCTGGAGTGCCTTCCATATCGTTGCAGCAGTGGTGAAAGTTCGGAAAAAGTATATCCGGCCAATACCCTCCAGGACCGGTACAGGTCCCATTCGTGCCAGCCACACTCGACACACACCACAACAGCGCGTCCGATCACCACCGTTACAAGCACGCTCGTTACAGTGACCTCACCTGGAAGAGGAAGAAGGGGATCCCAAGTGCGGCAAGAGAGGGCTGCACCTCTCTCAGCCCGCGCAGCATGAAGGCGAAGTGGCGCGCCTTGGCGCCCAGGAAGGAGTCCACCAGGTTGAACACCACCGCCACTGCTTCTCCCCGCTCCCGCGCCTGTGCTCGCATGGGCAGACAGGGAAGGGGAGGGGTAGAGGGGAGAGGTTGGGGTCGACTAAAGTCGCCTTGGCGCCCAGGAAGGAGTCCACGAGGTTAAACACCACCGCCACTGCCTCTCCCCTCTCACGCGCCTGTGCCCGCATCGCGGGAATGGGGAGAAGAGGAGGAAGAGAAGGTGCGGGAGGGGGGGTAATAGAGTTTGAGTCGAGTCACAAGTCACCTTGGCGCCCAGGAACGAGTCCACGAGGTTGAACACTACCGCCACCGCCTCTCCCCTCTCGCGCGCCTGGAGTGAGCACAGGGAGAGGGGAAGGGGATGGGGAGAAGGGGAGGAGAGTGGAGAGGTTGGGTCGAGTCACAAGTCGCCTTGGCGCCCAGGAACGAGTCCACGAGGTGAACACCACCGCCACCGCCTCTCCCCTCTCCCGCGGACGGTATGCGCACGAGGAAGGGGGAAGGGGAGGGGGGGAAGAAGAGGGGAAGAAGGGGGGGAGTTCTGAGTACTGGCGCCCACTGGCGCACTGGCGCCCAGATAGGAGTTCACCAGATCGAACACCACCGCCACTGCCAGGGGAGGAGATGTGAATAGAGGCAGGGGGGAAGGTGTAAGCACAGGTGAGGGGGAACGGGAGTGGAATGAAGGAGAGAGGAAGAGAGGGGGAAAGCGGGCAAAGGAGGGAATCATTTAGAGTTCGGCCTACACACGTTATCACTGATACCCTGTTCATAAGGCGTTCTGAGCGAAGCTGCACCTTTTGGACGGCGTATATGTGAGCCCAGTTGTCCTTGGACCGTTGATCTCGCGACATCCAGTACACCACAGGCCCAGTCCGCCGCAGCCCCTTGCGCAGCTCGCGCACCCTCCCCGGATTCACCGCGCCTGCCGTGTCCTTCTGCGCCCATGCCGGCTCCGCATCAAACGGAGACGATCCTACGGCTACGGAGGCTTTCCCGGACCCTAGAAATTTCCCTGAAGTTTTCCCTAGGGATTTCCCTGCGGCCTTTGCTGGCGCTTGTGCGGGACGTTTCTCGGAAGGTTCGCTCTGACGTTGACGTTTCCCTGATGAGATTCTGGAAGATTTGGGAGGCGGCGAAGGGGTGTCTGAAGCGGAAGTATCTGATTCGGACGAGATTTCTCGCGGTCGCCGCTTAGGCGCCATGAAAGCGATTAACTGACGAGACGCAACGAAGCGGAAAGAAGATAGAGACGGCGAACTACGAGGGAGAATGACGGGGACGAAGCGCGTCAAAGCGAGTACATGCATAAGAGAAGTTTGATCAGTTGTGCGACACGACAACGAAGAAACGAGTAGGCTCGGAATACTGGCCACCTCTAGCAGGTTCGTTGCTCGGAATGACGAATGGAATAACAACGACGTCGCTGGACGCTGTCTGAATGGGCAGTAAGGTGGTGCTTCGTTCTAAAAAAACCGTGAAGTGCAGTTGACCCGACCTAGCTCAACTCGACCAATATAGCGCTTTGTGGCTTTGTGGGAAGAAGCTCCAGCTGAGAAGCAGCCACGACACAAGCTTCACAGCCTCATGATGGTTGATGGAGGAAGGCCCACGTCAGCGCAGCCCATCCAGTAACGAGCAGTTTTGCAAGTGGCGGCTCGAAAGACACAGAAGAACCACATTTAACTTGGTCCTTTACGAGGTATAATATGGTGCTATCACATGTACATATTTCGTAGTATACAATCAGAGGAACAAATAAACAATATACCTCATCAATATCTCAAGTGTGCATTTTTTCACATAATATGAAATTCTTGATTTTTTAAAATGTTTGAGACATATTTATATTCTCCGTTTTTCTGGCACAATGGGGAAGGAAGTGGTGCTGAAGTTTAATCATACAAATTTCTCAACTTTAAGTGTGTGCATTCTTGTACATGTTTGTTGCACAAGACTTGGCGCTCTCCATGTCAGCAAAATGTATCCTCCTGCTGCTTCTCAAGGAAATCCCGAGCAGACACCTTGCTTCGTGACATAGGCCGAAACTAAGACCCTATTCATCGTGTTGGGAAGCAAGAAACACTGCAAACGGCCGTAGCTGAAATCCTGGGGGTAATTTGGCTCAGTCTAGCGCTGAAATCTTGAAACACTTGCGTAAGATATACTACACTACTCTGAAACATGAAGGTTGTCAGCTGCCCCCGGAACCCTTCCTAAAAGGTTTTCAAATCCTGAATTAAGAGCGTGTTACACCTGCCCTAATTTCAAGGAACACGTAGTTGAGATCACCCCCCCTCCCCCCCAACCCCAGGTTTATGGGTAGCCAAACAACATATTTTTGGGGCACATCACGATCCTTGTAGGTGTACCATCTGCAAATTTGAAGTAGTGATCCTCTGCGACTAGGCGACGTCGCCAGAAATTGCGCGACGTCGCGAGCATAGAAACTTTGCATTGACCATGTTGACCGTGTTACATACCGAGACGCAACAGCTTCATTGGTTCGAAGTTCCTTTCAGAACGTTTTTAATGGTTGCGACTGTGTTACCGCTGTGCAATATGACTGCGACAGTTTTCTTTCTCGTGAACAAGGATCACCCTCTGTTTGGTACAGAGATGCAAAGATCACCGTGGGATCGGTAGTCACCACGATTTTTTTGAAAACACAAAGATTGGGTAGCATAGACTACACATGATTCGATCCTCCCTCTATTAGTACAGCACCTAGTACAGTAATCTCTGTACAGTGGCGGGTGAGAACTGTTCTGCAAGGATCGCCGAGACGATCCTTCATTTGCGCGATCTTCCCCTAATTGTACCACGCTCTAAACAGTTCTGTTCCTCGCACCTGCCACCCTATCCATTCGCCGTAATTCGAGGTGAACTCATGAAAGTAAGGTCCTTCGTGGCGACTTCCGACTGGGTGGGTGTTTTACGACTGGGTTTCCCCCCTCATTTGGCCGTTGGCTGATTGGTGACCGCCGCTGATTGAAGCAGGGTGCGCCTGGGGATTCACGATTCATGACGAACCTGGCCTTGATCAGCGTAGTGTAGCAAAGGGCACGCCGCCTCGCTGTACAACTCAGAATATCAAACCATAGTCAGAACCAGAACTGACTGCAGTTGATCATACCAACCACAACAGCCTAGCTTTCATCAGGTCTTCTCCACCACCTCTCCTAAGAATCACCTTGGTTCGACCTTGGTTTTCTAGCTAGCCTCCACTGAATCACCTCGAATTCATCAACTCTGGACGGGTTTGAGGGACACCAGTCCGCAGTAGGTGATACTAAGAAGGCAAGTTTGTCATTCTTTTGAACTTAGCTTCAGCTGCAGCTATCACTGGGATTGCATGTGGAAAGTAGGAGAGACTGTTGCTGTAGGGGTAGGCGGAGGCTCGGCTCTGCTGTCAAACGTCGCTCCGGACGCGTCCAGAGGCGCTAAGAGTGAGTTCCTGTAACCTCGTCTTGCTTTCAGACCGAAGTAATAACGCCTTCTACTTCGTGAATCTCCGTAGTTCGCGAACGCGAATTTCGTGACTCGTTATGTCTGTGACTTGAACACAATAGCGGTTGGCCTATTCGGCCCGTGACATGTTATGTTTGTTACCGCGATTGTAGCTTAGATTGTATGCCATGTGCGTCGCGCCGTGTTGAACTTTCGCGTTGGTCAGTTCAGGCTTTCTCGTCGGCTTAGACTCCTCCGTCGCCCTTCTCCAGAGCAATGCCGTTTAACTCAGTTTCGTCTGTCTGCGACTTCAACCTTCCTCCCTTCTCCACGGCGACAGAAATATCTGCCGGAGCGAGGTCAACTAGTCCGACCTCCACGTCACTTAGGCGAAGGCCGCATCACCGCCAGAGACATTCCCAGTCAAGCTCCTCGTCAGTCGCCGCTTCGTTCCGTACCCCAGCCGGCGATTGGCAAGGAGCAGCACCCAGCACAACAAAGTGGCGTTGTCGGGTACGGCAAGTTTGCGCCTTCTAGATTAATCCTTCACTATTGCGAGCCGACTAATGTATAGCTGTCGCGTATAGAACAACGGGACCTCAAGCACCCGCCTGACTGTGTACCGCACTGTGTTGCGTCCAGATGATTTCTGAGTCCTTTCGAAGTCACCATATTACGTCCAGAACTCTTGAACGTTTCACCGTGCTCTTCATAAAGAGCCATATCAAGCTGTATTGATTTGCTTGTGTTTCATTCGGCTTTGCGCAGGCGGCCGTTCCGCACCAAGCCGCTGGTTCCAGAAACCGAGGTATGCCATGCTCGTTTCCTTTCTCGCTGACTTTCTGCGTGTAAGGTTGACCGTTGAGGTGTTAACTCATCATCTTTCCCTGATTACGCGCTCATGCAGACAACGTCCCCTATCGAATCTTCACAAACAAACCGCGATTTCCCTTTTTGGTCTTATAGCGCGTATGGCGCCCCTTTCCCTCGCTTCTTCCCCTCCTTCCAGGTTCAGCTGAGGATGAGTCGGACATAGACGGGCTTGCAGAAGAGAGCGCTGTCCTGCGAATCACGAACCACCACGTGGATATGGACCTATCAGCAGACGACACAGCATCAGGCGACAGCGTGCGAGCAGTCGCATGGTCCGACGACAGCGGGTTACACGTAGTCGAAGCAGAAGAGACGAGCGAGATTAAAAGCAACGGTAGAGGGGTTGAACGGGCTGTGAACGGCAATGCCCTAGGGAGAGGTATCGAAGGGCAGAAAATAGTGGCGAAGGAAGAGGAGGGGATGGGGGGAGGAGAGGAGGAGCTAGCTGTGATGAACGAACTCCCTATACCGATAATATCTTCCACAGAAGAACCCAAACGGCCGTACGAGTTCAAGATCCTCAAGGTGAGACATGTTTCCGAACAGAGCACTGACCAGGTGCGTCGTCGCTCGTTTTTTGCATTTCTCGTGTGCTTTGTTGTCCTCCATGGGTGCGGAAATCACTTTCTTATTCCTGCATTTGCACCCTGTTGTCCTCATGTCCTCCTCATGCGCCTATCCTCATACAACTGTGGTCTGTACTCCTGACTCTGTGCAACTGTCTGGGCAGGAGGAGCTGAAGTTCTCACGATACCTGAATGTCTTCAACCGGGTGGTCGAGGTAAGCTCTATGCTCACGTGCGTGGCACTTCCTCTGTCAGCCGTCTGTTTCGCGTTGTGCTTTGCAGTGTGTTCGTTGGTATTGAAACAGAACTCTTTTCTCCAAGTTGGAAATAAGTTTGTGAGTTCTGCTACTGGCGTGTGAAATCATGCAGCAGAAAGTTGTGAACATCAGCCAACCCACCAGTCATCCATGTTGGCTTTGCCTTTGGAAAACCAGTGATTCCTGCACTGGTTGACTTGATTGATGCGAAGTGTGGCTCCTATGTTCTCAATCTCAGACTCTTTCCATGCCTCATCCCACGCCTCGTTCCACACCTCATTCTGAGCCTCATCCCGTGCCTCATCCCATGCGTCATACCATGCCTCGTCCTGTGCTCCCATGCTTCATCCCATGTCACACCCCATGCATCATCCCAGAACTCATTCCAGGGCCCATCATGTGCCTCATCCCGTTCCTTGTCCCGTTCCTCATCCCATTCTTCATCCTGTGTCTCATCCCATGCTCATCTTGTGCCTCATCCCATGCTCATCCCGGGTCTCATCCCATGCTTATCCCATGCCTCATCACATGCCCCCATCACATGCCTCATCCTATGCCTCATCTCGCACCGTCCCACAACTCGTTTCATGCCTCGCCTCATGCTCTTCTCATCCTCCTCCCGTCCGGTCCTCTCCCCCTACTCATTCCCTCTCCCCCTACTCATTCCCTCTCCCCATCATCTATCCCTCCTCTCCCTTTCCTCTCCCTCTCCTTTCTCTGTCCTCTTCACCTCCTCTCCCCCCCCTTTCCTCCTCTCCCGTTTTTCTTACCCTCCTCTATCCTCCTCCCCTTCCTATCCCCTTCATCTCCCCCTCCGCTCCCCCTCGCAGCATCCCCCCCAGCCTCTCCCCAACGGCCAGACCCTCCCAGCCAGCATGACCCGACCAGCATCCGACGAACAGCCGGTCGGCGGCGATTGTCTGCTAGCGGAGGAATTCGGGGTGACAGAGGATCGACCAGCGAACAGTAGCGGGCACTCGGGCGGGTGGATAGGGTACGGGCTGGAGCTGGGGCAGGTACAGGGTACGCAGGGGGAGCAGCGGGTGGAGATATGGCCGCAGCAGGTGGTGGAGTATGATGTGGTGGCGGCTACAACCAAGTCGTGCCACTTCGTGTGCGTGCTGCCCTTCCATTCAAAGACCAAGACGGTTACTCTTTTGAAGGAATATGCACAGGTATGTGATGCAAGTACGGGCGGTGGTATTGTAAGCAGTTGATGAGAGGGAGGTGCAACTCAGTGGGGCAGACGCGGTGAGGTGGAACTTGTAGGTGGGGGGCAGGGAGCAGCTGGTGGAGCCGTGGGTGTGGGGTAGCAGGTGGTGGAGTGTGATGTGGCGGCCGCCAAAACCAAGTCGTGCCACTTCGTGTGCGTGCTGCCTTTTGCACTTTGAAGCCAAGACGGTTGCTCTGTTGAAGGAATACGCACAGGTCAGCACAAGAGGATGAGGTGCCAAGTGAATCAGGTAGCCACAGGTGCCTTATTTCCCCTCTCCTTCTCTCTCCCTCGCTCTCAGTCCCTCTCGGTCCCTCTCGGTCCCTCTCAGTCCCTCTCGGTCCCTCTCAGTCCCTCTCAGTCCCTTTCACTCCCTCTCCCTCCCACTCCCTGCATCTACCTCTCCATCTACCTCAGCTGTGCAGGGAGCAAACGCACTGGTGGCCACAGTGCTGTGTGGGGGGTATACAGACAACCACACATTCCCGAAGGAGTGCGTACAGGTTTTGAGACCTCTCCAATCTCGCTACCTTTCCCTCCCTTTGTCTCACCTCTGTGGTTCACAGGGAGCGAACGCGCTGGTGTGCCGTGTGGGGGCTACACGGACAACCACTCGTCCCTAGAGGACTGCGAACATGTTTCAGACCTCTCAATTTGACTCCCTTTCCCTCCCTCTGTCTGACCTTTGTGGTTTGCAGGGAGCGAACGCACTGGTGTACACGGTGCCGTGTGGCGGCTACACGGACAACCACACGTCCCTTGAAGACTGCGCACGCAGAGAGCTGTCTGAAGAGGTGAGTGAGACTCGGTGGTGTGGGACGACACGAGAGATGCGCTCGGATTGATGAGGGCTGCTGCGTGAAGTGTTTTGAGACGTCTCAAAACACTTCTTCAATCACGTGAAGGATGACGGCTCTGAGAGTTCTCCACTGCGGGCTCCGAGAATGCTCAGAAGCGGCCCGCATGTAGAGGAGAGACGCAAGTGGATGGATGTACTAGAGTTGGGAAGGGTGACAGAGGAGGTGAAGCAGAGTCATGCCGCACAGAAGATGCGGTATCGGTATCGGGTGCATTGTGGAGGTCAGTGAAGCATGTCGAGTCACAGGAGGAAGTGGTAGGGTCAAAACAACAATTATGGTCAGCTTTGCTATTTCCATCTTATAAGCATGACCTCCCTCCTGTTCGCATGACAGCACTCGGCCCATGTCTTGCTCCCTCTGCATGCACGAGACGAAGCTGTGTGGGGGGCAACTCATGAACCACATAAAGTAATCCATCACCTCTCGCCCCATGCCTGTCCGGTCCGCCCCTGCACGCCAGGCGAAGCTGTGTGGAGGGCAGCTCATCAAGCTTGTGGGGGACGACCACCCCGGCCTGCTCGAGGTGAGACTTCTCAGCTTTCCACGCTCATCCGTTTCTTCCTGCTCCATTTGGTGTGACCTCCTTGCCCGTTCAGCCATTCACAGGCGCGATGACCTTGAAGGTAAGCTTGTGTCACTTGTCACTACTGCCTACCACATCTAGTGTTTTTTCGAGTTTTTATTCCAGCATAGGGTTGAAGTTGAGACGGGTCTCCTGCGTCTCCCTCCCTTGCTGCCTGGCCTTTCAAGTGCTCGCCTGTAACCCATTGAAGTAAGCTCGGATGTAAACCCGTTGCATCTCCCTCCCTCCCTTGCTGCGTGGCAGGTCAAGTGGTGCAAGAACCGCTTCACTCCCTTCCTCGTCATCGACCCTCAGGTCAGTCATCCTCCCCCTCTCCGCCCCTCGCGTCAGCCATCTCCTTTTTTGCCCATCGTTGCTGGATACCCTCATGTTGCCTTCCCCCTGTGCTCCATGCTCGGATTGGGTGTGAGGTGCCTGCCTGCCTGCCTTCCTGCCTGCCTGCCTGCCTGCCTGCCTGCCTGCCTGCCTGCCTGCCTGCCTGCCTGCCTGCCTGCCTGCCTGCCTGCCTGCCTGCCTGCCTGCCTGCCTGCCTGCCTGCCTGCCTGCCTGCCTGCCTGCCTGCCTGCCTGCCTGCCTGCCTGCCTGCCTGCCTGCCTGCCTGCCTGCCCCGCACTGCCTCAAGTTATGCTGCCCCCTGGCCAGGCGGCTTGGGGCGCTGCACGGAGTGAGTCGATAGAGGTGGCCCGTGTGCCAGTGGGAGACCTGCACCCACTCGTCCCCTTGTATCTCCCCACTCCAATTCCCCTATCCATAGGAGGATTCGGATCCTCTTCCAAGGGATATAGAGGGGTTCATAGAGGTGCACCGCGTGCCGGTGGGGGCCCTCCACCCACTCACTCCTTATCTCTTCCGTGTCGCTTCCCCCATTCCCCATTCTCCGCTCCACAGGACGACTCCGACCCCCTCCCAAGGGATTTAGAGGAGTTCATAGAGGTGCACAGGGTGCCGGTGGGGGACCTGCAGGGCATGGCGCTGAGTGGAGACATGCTGCTGCCCTCCGTGGTCACCTGCACCATGGCTCTGCAGTACCTCAAAGACAACGGCTGGCTGTAACGGGTGTGACTGTATGGTGTAGAGGGGTGGGGGTTATCTGCGTCGGCACTGAGTGTAGACATGCTGCTGCCCTCAGTCGTCACCTGCACCATGGCCCTGCAGTACCTCGAGGACCCAGGCTGGCTGTGATGGGTGTGACTGCAACGAGTATGGGAGGGACTTACCGGTATGTCCAGCTGGTGGGAGCCAGTGCCTCAGGCAGGGGGGCTGATGCTGACTGGGAAACCCATATGGCTGGCCGTGACGGTAACGGGGGGAACTAACGGACAGTAGACTGTCCCCAAGAATGCAAATCTTTACAGCCCATGCTGAGACGACACTTTGTATAAGTAATGGGGAGTGCCACTCATGCTCATAGCCTCCCAAATGCTGTATTGCTGATGCACAAATGCACAAGGTGAAGTTCCTATATTTGCGATGTTTGATTGTCGGTCGGTACGTTTCGGCAGTGTAGATCCTTAGAATATACACTATATAATCAGTTAATCACTACTCTCTCTCTCCTTTGGTGGGACTGGATGTGCTGCCTGACCAACACCAGTAGCTTAGCTACGGGCTTCTGTTTTGTAGAGAGTAGATGTTTGATTGGCCTGAATAAATGCACTGTCTGTTCACCACTTGACTGCACAATATACAGGACTAGCGTAGGGTAGATGTTGACTTCATGTTCAGTAAACTTTGCTACACGCTGCTACTGCAATATTCTACTGTTACGCTTCTTCTGGCTGCAGAAGTCTTGGTTGACTTTTTAAATGATGGACAGTTGAATAAAACTTCCACAAACATCCAACACTCTTGCAACGGGCTCAGCACTGCAGGTATACAGAACAAACAAGCAAGGAAGGCAGAATGGTTCTACCATGTCCCTGCTCCTGCAGGTGCCTTATTCACTCTGCCCTAAATGCTCATAACAGCGTCCGAGATTCCACCAGAAAGGCAATCAAGGGCAGCGAGAAAACTGCCTCGAGACAAACAGTGATGTGACCGGGTGGACAATCGAAGGATATGCTGGCTGTGCATTGGAACGGAGTGGTGAGTGAGCTGGACGGCAGGGGAGAAAAGAAATTTGGTGCATATCTAACAAAAAAAGCCAAGCAAGGAACGGAACAGATGGCATGGGATGGGAGAGCAGGGTCCTCGCTAGGTTTTGAACCCCTCTGATGCATCAGACGGGCCCGAAGGGCCCGTCTGATGCATCAGAATTTTTGCTTTTGAGTGTCTGACGAATCAGAAATTTTCAAAAACCTTGTCTGACCAATCAATACAGAGTTACGAGTGTGCAGATGCACGTGGGAAAAAAATTGAGTCGAACTTCTCTCTCGCCTGTCACATCCATTCTAAGGGCACACAACACTCACCCTGTCATACTACATTCGCCCCGTCACACCACATTCGCCCCGTCACACCACATTCGCCCCTTTTCACCACATTCGCCCTATCACAAGAGGGGTTCGCACTGCGTATAAAGATTGCAACGAGTCAACCTGTCACAGCAGTGATCCATGCACTGTCACAGGAGAGATTCCCTTCCCACCGTTGGAAATCGCGATATGCTATGTTTCGATTTCAGACGAAACAGAAAACAGGTGTCTGATAGAACAGATGGAAACTAAAAACCATTTCTGACCCATCAGACGACATAATACACCCATTTCTTGAAAATCAGATGAGTGAAAAAAAATCAGTCTGATTTCTCAGAAAAACAGACAAAAATGTCTGATAGCGAGGGCCCTGTGGGAGAGGTCTGCAGAGGGTGGCAAGGGGCGGTGTAGAGCCGGTATGCTGAAGCAGCATCTTTATGATAGAGTCCGGTGCGTAACAGCTGGAGGCCAAACGAATGGATGTCAATCAGCCGCCAGACGCCACGCCTCCCCTCTACATGGGCGTGACGTTGACCTGCACCTTCATGCCGCCTGGCCCGCAGTGGCTGGGCACAGGGCACGCGAAGAAGAGCGCCGTTGCCGCATCAGCTGCCTGCACTGTGTACCTGGGGGGGGGAGGGAGGGAGTGCAGAGAGACAAGGCTGGAAGGTCAATGCAGATGGGAAATAAGGCGCAGGTGAAGAAGAGCGCTGTGGCCGCATCAGCTGCCCGCACCATGTACCTGGGGAGGGGTGAAAGAGGGAGAGAGAGAGAGGTGAGAGTGGAGAGGCAAGGTAGGAAGGTCAAGGGAGGTGGGAAATAAGGCGCGCTCGAAGAAGAGTGCTGTGGCCGCATAAGCTGCCCGCATCGTGTACCACTGTACCTGGAGGGGAGGGCGAGAGAGAAGAGGCAGTACAGAGAGGGGAAAAACGAAGCAGGCAATGAAAAACTGCCTTCTACCTGCACCATGCACCTAGGAGAGAAATGGAGGGAGGGAGGGCCGAAACGGGGCAGGGGAATAAGGAGGTGGGGAAGAGTATGGTCATGAGAGTATGGTCATGAGAGTAGCAAGCTGCTTACATGCAGCAGGAGGTGGGAGGGAGAGCAGGAGGACAGAGAGGTGAGGGCATGGGGTAGAGGCGCATCTAGAGACGGACGGCGCAGGAGGGGGGCGAAAGCGCACTGTGAAAGGGGGGGGGGGGGGAGGAGGGGGGGGGGGGGGGGAGGGGTGGGGGTTACCTGGCGTAGCCAAAGAAGCGAATAGGAGCGACCTTGGAGCTGCCACTGAAGTCGCAGTTCTCATACGCCGTGCCGCTCGCCAGCTTGCGCACTCCGTGCGGCCAGAATCCCCATTTGAACACTGTGGTGTGTGGTGTGGATGGGTGTGGATGGGTGTGGATGGGGTGTGGTGGATGGGGTGTGGTGGATGGGGTGTGGTGGATGGGGTGTGGCGCGGGGGGGAGGAGGGAGGGTGAGAGGGTGGGAAGCAGCGAGGGAGGAGGTGAGTGCAAGGGGAGTTGGAATTAGAGCGAAGCGGGCCTTTTGAAGAGAACGTGGTGCGAATAAAGAATGAGTCCGAGGTCTTTTGAGGCACCGCACACGAGCTTTTCAGTTTATCCACAGGCCCTCCCCGGCGCACTCTCCATAGCATCTCCCAACCCGCCAGGCGAAACCCCATCGCGACTGGCGTTGACTGGGATTGACTGGCGTTGACTCACCGAGCACATCGCCCGGGTTGACGACGGGCTGCCTCCACGAGCGGAAGACGTAGAAGGACCAGGGGAAAGGGCCGTACCCCACCAGCACTGCCTTCGCCTGTGAGAGGGGGGCAGGGCGAGGAGGGACGGGCGGGAGGGAGGGAGGGAGGAAGGGGAGGGAGTGAGGGGGAGAGCAGCCAACGGTTAGGGCGAGGAGGAGAGTGATAGCTGATGCAGGCAAAACGTCGGACTTTCTGCAGCCAGGGACTGGTACGTTCTCTTGAAAATCCTTCAGCGGTACTTGGAAGACCGCTATTGGTTGGCAGGGTGCTTGCCTGGGTTTGCAGCAGAACTGGTGGCACGTCAGCACGTCCACGCCATGTGTGCAACATGCGGAGGCCGAGTGGTGTTCCCGCCATGATCACGCAGCAGCGGCACATTGGAGGCCGCCACGTCACATGCCATGTGGGCGTTGTAGCGACGTCAGCGGCAGCAACGAAGCGGGAGGGAAGGATTGGGCCGCGGAAACGGCGTGTCGGTGGGATTGGAGAGGGGGGAGGCGGAGAGAGGGGGAGAAAGAGGGGGCGGGAGTGGGGTGGAGGTAAGCGGGGTTTGAGAATAAGATGCAGCGAGAATCAAGAAACAGGGAACTACGAAACCAGCAACAGCGAAAATAACTTGTATTTAAAGAAATAGATGGTTGAAGCCAGTGACTCACACGGCGCGAGGAGCACGAGCGTGCAGAGGAGAATCGCAACGCGAGCTGACGCCATGGCTGATCGCGACACGGCTCGGTATCGTAGAGACTAAGTTCTTGGGATGTCCGAGAGTGGTTGGAAAAGGTGTTGATATCCAACCGCAGACGATTCCGGTGCCGCAACTATTAGTTAACCTCGAGGTAAGCGATGCGCGCAACTTAGCGAGCTAAGATTAATCCCAAGAGCGCCACAAGATATGGCTCAATGGCGTGAAGGCGCCATTGAAATACACGAAGAGTGACCGGCGCGCTACGCGCCGAGCGCAATGTTGATCCCTGGGCGCTGCCAGCGTACGGGATGAACGGTAGGCCACGGCAAGGTTCGATCTTGAGCGCGGCACGGGACGCCCTCCCCTTCGTCGCTGCAGGTGCTGCAGCAGGAGAACGGAGGGCACCACATACAGTTCATCAGCGTGGTTGGTCCCCAGCGCGCGCCGTACCACCGACATGGACGGCTTTTGTAGGCTGGAAGGGTTAGAATGCGCGGCGCCGCAAAAACTACACTGGAAGAGGAAAAAACCAAAATAGAAGAAGCCATGGCTGTAGTCGGTGGCTAAGGGATAGCCAGCCACAGGCGATGCTGTTCAGTTCAGGCAGCAAGCAGCGAGCCGCGTATTGGTGTTGCCGCCGAGCCCACGGGATGCCGCCACGTGTGCAGCCCTTGGCTCCATCCACTTTACAGGCAAGTTGTGGTGTTATAGGCCTGAAAATATATATTCCAAATCGTACCAGGAATATATATAAATGCCGTATCCAGTGTCGAACTCTTAGGAAAACGCGTAGGGTAAACTATTAGGGGAGGAAACAAAAAAAATATCTAGACAATTGTATTCAATTTAATATGTAAGGCCCCTAGATTGGTTTTGGGACACGCTGAACAGTGTTGTTATGCAAATTTACAGCACACGCTTCATTGTGGGTGTGGCTGACTCATGAGATGGCATGGCATCATGAGGGTTTCTAGATGGCACAGCGCAGGCGGCTTCGGATGGCAGTCTAGGGCGGCTACAGATGGCAGTCTAGAGCGGCTACAGATGGCAGTCTAGAGCGGCTACAGATGGCAGTCTAGAGCGCGATGGGGATCTGTGTCTTCATGCGGAAGGCAGTGCAGTGGGAGGGGATGCTGCAGGCGAAGAAGAGAGTTGTACCTGCTGCTGTCACCGGCACCTTGTACCTGACAGGGTTGAGAGCGGTTGAGAGGGTTGGGCAAGTTGGGAGGGTTGCGGCGGGGATTTGAGAGGGGGGTTTGAGGAGAGGCAACACCACGAGGATTTCTGCAGGGGGAACGCTGGTATTCTATGGACAGAGTTTAGCCCAAGCTGTGTGTTTCCTTGATGGCATGCTAAGGGAATCCTACCGTACCAAAAAAGGCGAGACAAACCAAAGGTGCGAGGAGGTTGGTGAGGGCTGGTGAAGGGTGGCGATGGTTGGTGATGGGGGGTGGAAGGGTGGTGATGGGGGTTGAAGGGTGGTACTGGTGGGTGCAAGGGTGGTGATGGGGGGTGAAGGGTGGTGGCGGTGGGTGAAGGGTGGTGGCGGTGGGTGCAAGGGTGGTGGCGGTGGGTGCAAGGGTGGTGGCGGTGGGTGCAAAGGTGGTGGCGGTGGGTGCAAGGGTGGTGGCGGTGGGTTGTGCAAGAGTTTGAAACGGTGTGTGCAGCAGAAAGGGCAGCAGCGTAGTACTTGTAGCGCTCGGAGATGTGGACGCGCTTGAGCCTCTTGCGGTTTGCTTAAGCGTCCTCTCTACTACTGCAGCCCTTCGAAACATGAGTCAAGGTGACCCATGTGGACGCGCTTGAGCCTCTTGCCCGTAGCAAAGGTGAATTTTGAGACGTCTCAGGAGATTGGAAGGGTGTGTGCAGCAGAAAGGGCAGCAGCGCACTTGTAGCGCTCGGAGATGTGGACGTGCTTGAGTCTCTTGCCCGTAGCAAAGGAGCAGTTGGTGTAGGCCGCTAGATCCCTGAGCTGCCACACGTCATGCCTTGCCATGCGCCACCGGAACACTGGGGGGTGTGGGGAGGAGAACGAAGGGGAGGGGGAATGAAGGTGCAGTTGGTGCAAGCCACTAGGTCCCAGAACTGCCACACGTCATGGGATGCCATGCGCCACCGGAACACTGGAGGGTGTGAGGAGGAGAACGAGGAGGGGAAAACGAAGGGGAGGGGGAATGAAGGTGCAGTTGGTGTAAGCTGCGAGGCCCTTGAGACGCCACACGACATGCGCTGCCATGCGCCAGCGAAACACTGATTGGGGGGGGGGGGGGGGGGTGAGAGAACAGGAAGAGAGGACATACCGGGAGGGGGAGCGGGGAGAATGAAGAAAAAATGGGGAACGAATAGTATGCAAGGGGCTTGAAGCGCCACATGTTATGCGCCGCCATGCCCCAGCGGAACACTGCAGGGTGGGGAGTAGAGGGGGAGGGGAGGAGGAAGAGGTGCTCGAAGGGGAGAGTAATAAATCAGGAGAGGAGAGGAGACAGGGAGAACGGAGGGCGGTTGGGAGGGTGAGGTGGGGAGGGGAGGATGAAGTGGAGGGGGGGCAAGGATGACGCGGCTCACATGAGTGCAGCAACACACGGGCTGCCATGGGCTTACCAAGCTTGTCCCCTGGCTTCACACGGGGAGGCTTCCAGGACTCAACACCGTACGACCACGGGCTGAACCACCCCCTGCCCACTGTCACTGACCTGGCCTGTGAACATGGGCATGGGGAGGCGGAAAAGGGGGGCGCGGGATATAGAGTGATGGAAGAATTCGGGAAGAGAATCAATGAGGGAAAAAAAGAGGTGGGAGAACATTGGCGAGAGGGAATGAACGGATGCAAGAAGGCAGAGGGACAAGCTTAAGGTAGGAAGCAGAGAGGGTAACGTGTGCCGGATGGCAAGCGTTCGACAGGCGCATGGCATGGTTGGTTGGTGGTAGCAGTGGCGGCTGCAGTGGTGGTGGCGCCTGTGGTGGTGGTGACAGTGGTGGTACCTGAGTGTCAGCTGCATCTGCAGCCAGAGGGTGAGAGAGGACAAGAGTGCGGCAACGGAAGAACAGATGACGAGATTCGTTAGGAGAGAGGTAGCAAGGTGAAAAGCGAGGGGAACAAGAGTGGAAGGAGGGATGGGGGAGGGGAGAGAACGAGGAAGAGCGCGGGGTGGGAGGGAGGATAGGGACGGTTCTGAAAAGACGAGGGGCAGTGAGGGGCGAAGGGAGGGTGGCGAGAGGACGCGAGCACGAGCAGCGAACCACCTGTTAACGGCTCACTTACACTTACAATTACATAACTATTTTTGAAGCGCTCAGTAATCATATATCACGACACTTCACTCACACTGTAACACCTCGCTACCCAATGGGTCAAAACGAGGGTTCTATTTGAGGCGCAGCGGATGCTCTCATACCCTTACGTGTAAGCCCCACAGGCGTTACACTCGTCCCCCCCTGGAGCCAACGTCCTCGTTGGGCAGGGAGTCGGCCCTCGCAAGGACCTGAATCTCACTCTACAGCGACTTCGCTGGTGGGCCAGGCCAGCGGCGGATCGTTCACTGGGTTCGCGACTGGCACATACAAATGTGACCCAGCCGGGAATCGAACCCTAGGCTCTGAGACCAAATGTAACACCTCGCTACCCACTGGGTCAAAACGAGGGTTCTATTTGAGGCGCAGCGGATGGTCTCATACCCTTACGTGTAAGCCCCACAGGCGTTACACACACAGCAACACGAGGAGCAGAAGCGCGCACAACAGCTTGAGCCGCGCCATCTCCGCCGCTGTAACGCGCAGGTAGCGACTTCTCTGAAACGCGTGGCGCCGCGAATTATCAGAAGTACGGAAAGCACGCAAAGTGAAAGTCTGAGGCGGGCGTGCGGGAGAAAGAAGTCTGGATTTGTTCGACTCGAGTCTGCTGCTGCGATTACGGTGGAAACGGTGGTGGTGTTTTAAACGGAACTTCGGGGGGCTGCGTGCGACATGGCAGCAGAGCGACTAACTAGCCGCGCCGCGCACGGGCGGGCGCACTGACTGTGGCCGATAACCCGCAGGCGAATTGGAAGGGAGGAACGAACGACGGTGACGGCGCCGATGGTCGGATGGTCGGACGAACGGCGCGCCTGGCGCAAGCAGACGCCTCGTCGGCGCCGGCCATGGCGCAACTGAATTCCCCTTGCGCAACGCTGCGGATAGCTTTCGAAGATGGGCCGCGCAAAGGAAGCGTGGGAATGAGGCGCTAGCTGTTTCCAGTTTCGCCGCTTGAACGGCGGTTTGGTAGGGCTTTCTCGGTTAGGAATGCATGCCACGTGGCAAGCCGACTCCGCTCCGTTCTCTTTGACATGCGCAGCTCGCCACCGCCAAGCAGCGTCGCGACTATCGAACGCCAGCACACAGCAAGTTCTGCGGTGCATGTGCATGGCAGCTGCTCGACATCTAGCCACCAACGAATGTCGGATCGAATTGTCCACTTCAGGAGGCGGAACATTGTGCGTTGTGCGAAAAAGCATTTGAAGTTCAATGCTCCGCACTGAACCACGCTGTACCACTCAGTGAAGTACCACATCAGAACCCCCCCCTGAATGCTCACGCCCCTTACATATCATGTTTGCTAAAATACTTCAGACTCCACAGCAGTGTAAAAGTAAGTGGTTTTGTTACAAGATATACTACATATACTTTAATGCAGAGCATTGGGGTGAGGTCTTTCACCCGGATATTTGGTATCGAAATTTGTG